ATGGAGGCAAGGTGATGATGACAGTGCGATGGTCTTCTTTATGGAATAAGAAGTAATATTCTTTGTATAAAAAGAAATAGCGTAGATACAGAAGATGTTGCGTATCAAAGGAGAAGAAGAAGAAGAAAACAGAAGCAAGGGAAGAAATCCTCTCATATACTCAAAGAAACTCCAGCGATGACAAATCATTAGTAACTCACACCTTTACAACCGATGGAACCCCAGAGAACCTTATAGAACCTTTTTGACTAATTGTAATCCTCGTACCCCAGCTTACTTATTAATTGATCCATGAAAGATTATTTGCCATTGCATATCAGAGCAGACAGAGGGACGGAAACAATATTACTGGTGGAATCTTTCTGGGAGGTACACAAAGATCATGGCCTGAATATTACATTCCCAAAAGTGTTTTGGTATGGAACATCAACAAGGAATGTCCGTATAGAAAGTTGGTGGGGACAGCTTAAAAAGGGTGCTACAGCTGTGTAATGAAGCCATTTCAACTATCTGGTATATGAGTATACACAGGGTGCGGTTACATGTTAAAAACTATTGATAGAAGCCAGTTGTACAGTGACATGCAAGTACTGGCAGTATGGTTAGCTACCAGCTGACAGAGTAACTACATTCTGAGTACTAGGAAGAGGATCTATGCATGTGAGTAATGACTGACGAGTCTATCCCTCGCCATGGACTAGGAGGTCAACCAGAGTGAGGCTCGGAGGGCTCAGCGATGCTCTATATCCTCTGAACATGACAAGTCCACCTGTATCGGCAGGGACTATGTATGGAAAAGTCTACAATAAGCGAAGAGCTTTACAGCAATGATTAAGCTCATACCTGAGCATTAGCTCATTCATGCAGGCTCCATTTTGTATGACAACCAAGGCTGAAGGTGTTACAAAGGCTTTTGAGCAAAGGTGGTTGCCTTCGGAATAAGAAGCGACCACTAACGTTTAGACAGAAGTGGGGTAGCAGTGGCATTGCCTCTTTTCCGCCAGAAGATACCACTGGAACTTAGTAGGGTATTAGGAGCAGGGAACAGAGTCGCTTGGAGTATAAATATTCAGGACCTTTCCCGCCCTAATATCCGCATCCTCAGTCTTCAGAGAGTTATCAAGTATTCTACTCGGTAGCAGAGCCCTTAAAGATTCTTGAGTTCTAGCGATAAATCTTTTGAATAAATCTAAAACTGATTTCTATCTTATACGGCTACATCTTTCTATCAGATTCTGGTGATACATGGAAAGACTGTTCCCGTTACAAGGCGATTGGAAGGTAAAGTGAATCAATTCTATTACAAACAGAAATATGACTAAACTGTATTAAAAAGAAATATTTCCATACACTTCAACAGGGAACACTATTTCAAGAATACAAATTGTAGGACATGATAGATATTCTTTAGACCTATATGGCTATTATACGGGTGAACCTAAATCAGTTTGTTGAAAACTGGAATAATCATAAGATACGGAAAGAAAGTAATAGACCCAATCTTCCGTTTTGCAAACCCTGCCACAACTACTATTTTCTACCTGACGGTGTCAACAATTATGAGCAAATAACTTCTCTAAATATGATTGAAATTATTTGAGATAAAAAATTAAAAAATAGCTACACAAATGAGTACTACAGTATGTATGTTTCTTGATACTTAAAATTATTGTTGACCTAACTTTTACCGATGGAGACATATAAGATCATGATTCCTATCTCCCTAATTTAACAATATACTACTGCGCCCATATGCTTTCAAAAGGAGGTCTGCCTGCCAATGGGGTACAGTATGAGGACACCATGCCTGATGGTAAAAAGACTCATTTTGTTATTTATACCTTCCTTAAAGCCTATCTAGTAAGACATATTCAGAAGGGAATCAAAATCCCGTGCTCTCATTGTTGTTAAAGCCCCGGGAAGTGTCTTCTATTAGGAGTATCCACTTGACGCCAGGGGGTGCGCCACAGCTTGTTGGGGGAGAGTAAGGAATGAGGCACCGACCCCACTCAAATTTGATGATCGGGTGATATTTTGTAAGTTTCGGCGTAATAGTGACCGTTACTCAGGATTACTACATTATGAGTCTATTAAGATACTGCAAGCCCCAGCGCTCGAGGGGAACCAACATATAACGAGTCCAATTAGCACTAAAACCCAGAGCCTCATGCAGAATTTCAGGGGTATTACACAGAGCTATGTTTAAAAACCCTATGAACCTCCGAGTATCTACAGCCTTGTGAGTGACAGCTTCAATGGGAGATTCAAAACTCATATGGGGAGCCATACGTGTTCCCTGCAACTCCGGAGTATAACCCATTAATGGCACTCCTCCAATAGTTTGCTATTCGAATTATTACTGGTTGCGCTCAGCTGAGTTCAATTGGGCGGTCAGTCACTGTATGTATGTATGTACCCTTACTAAGCTCCGTTTGTTGTGTGTAACCGTCGTATTCGAGTGCCATATCATCAACCCCGCGAAGACATCCCGCGATAGACTAGGTCACCGCGACTACCACATTGCTGACAAAAAGACACCTACAATAATATCATGTCTAAACGCCAAACGCCAGATAAAACAAACTCCCCGGGGAGCGATATGAGCGACGTGCAAAAACGTCAAAAGACAGGCGAGACAGACAACCCCCCACCTGACGACCACCGGCGGCCCCAGCAAAGCCGGGCTTCACATTGAGAATATTGAACATTCCTAAGAAGATATCGAAAGAGAAATTCTTCGATATACTCAGCAGCCTGCCTAGCGATACCCCGCCGGATGAACAAAACGTGCTGGGGTGGTCGCCTACGCCATCAGCGGAATCTACTGATTCCATGACAGGGCCATCTCAGGTTGGGACGGTCACATTCCGATCAACCCCAGTAAGCTTCCGACACTTGCCAACCTCTGAGGTTCTTCATCTTCTTGGAGACGTTATTGCGGATAGCAATTTTTTTGGCATGACACCCTTAAGTAATCCGGTGGAGCCAGTGGTTGAGTATGTTCCCTTCTTTTGGACAAGTGAAGGGACAATGACATTAATAATGCATCTAGCAGTATTGCTATCACTGGCTTAGCAGGACATGCCTTTGGGTCATGGAGATCACGCAGAACCTACAAAATGTGGCTGAGGGATTTTCTGCCAAGTCACGTTCCCAATGCCCGTATTCTAACCTATGGCTATGACTCAACCTTCTTGAGTAACAACTCGAATGCTTCCATCCATGAGTTCTCCGAATTGTTTGGCCAGGCTCTAATGACAGTAAGAGCTTCCAAACTGTTACAGGAACTACGGAACACTGTCCTAGAGGCTTAGGACAGTGAGGAATACGAGTGACGGGTTGTGATACAAGGACGGTCGGGTAACGGAGGGACAAGCATAGAAAGGTATCGGGTAATGTGTGGGCGCGCAGTGTCAACACGCTAGTCCTATACTATTATGACGGCACGCTTACTGTTGGGTGTCTCACCCGAAATAAAATAGGAAGCGGGGCTTACGGCTGTAGGCTGTTCTACTCAGGGAAGTAGGTCTAGGATAATAGTATGGTACAGTCCGATGACTGGCAATTGCAAGGTTCATGGTTACGTGTCGGAATTAGAATGGAGGACGGAACTATGCGGGGGCGCTTTTCTATTTGGGCTATCTTCGGGAGCATTATCTTATTCTATTATCGTTGTGTCAGTTAGTATTAGAAAGCGGGCCTTGGCATAGGTTCCAACATGTATAAATAGGGCTTGATTCTGCGAAGACTTGAGGGTGTCATCAACCATCAAGTCAAGGGAATCCGGTTTACAATATCATCAGTTTAAACGCTACAGAATTATCGCTTAGCACTGGCTATTCCCCCAAACACGAACAGGTGAGATTAAACCGATCATCTCCTCATACAATGCATATCTAACCATAGTTCAGGAGAAATATCGACCTATCATATTTATTGCTCACAGCCTCGGTGGCCTTGTGATTAAACATGTATGTTCCTTGCTATGCTGCCTCCTATCCTTAGACAAAAGTAACCTAAGGAAATAGGTTCTCTGTAAGAAGAACCAGTCGGTATTACTAACATCATGTCATGCACTTCTTCTGTTTGGAGTACCCCACAACGGCCTAAATGTGGACGCACTAAGATTTATAGTAAAGGATCAACCAAACGCAAAACTGATTGAAGATCTCAATGAATCATCAAACTTTCTTCAGCTTCTTGAAGATTTCTGGAGATCAAAGACAACAGATAACATCAGGATTATCTCTATATATGAGACAAGGCCAACGGCAACTGTCCAGGTAAGACTCCCGAAACTATGCTCTCATATGAGTAGAAAGTTAATACCCTTTAGGAAACGCTACAGGGCTGGAAACGAACTGGCCCAGAGGTCATGATGGTGAATAAATGTTCCGCGACTGCCGCTAGTAACTATCTAGATGATGTCTTCCCCATCGACCACAACCACTCGGATATAGTTAAATTTAAAAATGAGAGATGTCAATATTACCAGATTGTTCAACGAATCATAGAAGACTTGGTGAAGGATGTTCAAGGTTTGAACAGAAACCTTTCTCCCCGTCATAACTCTTTCTGACAGTATTACCTGGCGAAGGACAATGGGTCAAACTTGAAAGTACGATACGTGTCTTGTTCCCCGGGAGAGGCTTTCGCACGTTTAGCCAGTAGTATGGTCTTAAGTTTGCCTAAGCTATACCCCAGTGTTTATTGCGGAGTAATGTCATTGGAATTTATCGATACTGATTAAGCTTTAGAGGAGAGACGTCTCGAGGTTTTACTGTGGCTTTCAACAATTGAGTTTCATAGTCACCATTCGTTTAATCGCAGTCGTCGGCAAGAAGGAACCGGTACCTGGCTCTTGCAAAACGAGATGTGGGGAAAGTGGGCCAGAGGAGATGAATCGTCTATTCTTTGGTTGCGTGGTGATGGTAACTTTACCCTACCAATATACACGTCATTAGGCGCTAACGTCTCTCACAGCGGGATCCGGTAAAACTATGCTGACGTGAGTACTCCTACCTGACTAATATCACCGATGCTTATTTCATGTACAGGTCCTTTGTGATCGACACCTTGAAGATCGAAGCTGAGCGCGATGATCACATCCTTGCATACTTTTACTGTGACTACAAGGAACCGAAGCGCCGAGCTCCAGCTCCAATCCTCAATGCTATCCTCAAACAGTTTTGCATCAAGCTACCACCAGACCAGAATAAAATACCAAAAGGCATCTTAGGTGAATATAGTAAAAGAGAAGATCAGGGCCACGTTTCTGGTGCTTTGAATACCAATGAATGCAAAACCTTACTCGTCGACTTATCGAATTACTGCCTAAAAACGACTATCATCATTGATGCGCTTGACGAGTGTTTGTACAACACAAGAAATGGCCTTTTCAACGCCTTAAAATACATTATATCTCACTCTCAGAGTAAAGTAAAGATATTCATCACCAGTCGATACCACGACGACATTGAGAGAGCTTTCAGTGGAACAATACAATATTACCTCTGCGCAGCGGATAATAAAAAGGATATTGAGAGGTTCATCGAGGAAGAGGTGGATCGGCGCTGCGAGCATGAAAAGCTCGGGGATGATGATCTGCCCCTGCTTTCGGGCAAGGCTGTACATGCAGAGCTTAGGGATGAAATTATTTCTACCCTAAAGTCTAGGTCATGTGGAATGTATATCCTCACCTCCCCACATTGCTTTGCCACCTCTTACTGATGACGTCCCTAGGTTCCTGTGGGCCCAACTACAGATCTTAGCCTTGTGCCAAGAAAGAACGTACGACGGTGTGAGAAAGGCTCTGAAAGAGCTTCCAGAAACATTGACAGAGACATACCATCGCATGCTTCATCCGGACCACGCTGTGCATTCCGATCGTGATCGCCTTCAGCGACAGCACATCCTCAGAGTCCTAATGAGCGCCTACACGAAGTGTTCAAAGGAATTACTTGTTCAGAGCCTTGCTATTCAGTCCAGCGGAGCGGAGCTAAATGAGGATCTACTATCCCTGGATCGATCAGACATCTTGGCAATCTGTCAGAACTTTGCAGTTTACAATGATGCACTAGAGTCCATGGAGTTCGCTCACTTCTCTGTGAAAGAATATTTAGTAAGAATAGAAGGATTCGACGATAGTGCCTGCCACAACATGATGGCTGAGATTTGTCTTACCGCATTACTCATCCACCATCGGAACAAGGTGATGCAGGAAGTTGTGCATTATGCCACTCAAAACTGGAGCTTTCATATACGGCGTGCCCATTCTTTATCCAGAGCAACCTCCAAGATATGCAAACAGTTTCTCACTGATTCCGTTCCGTACAGAGCCTGGCTCCTCAATGTCAGAATTTGTGATGGGTTCTTTGAAGTTCAAGGTGGTGGAGGTCAGGTGCTATCACCCTTTTGGGTAGCGTGCTACTATGGCCTCGTGGGTATAGCTAGGGCTATGCTTGATAATGGGGATGAGATTAATGTCAATGAGAGGAATAAGCATCATAGAACACCCCTTTTTAATGCTGCGGAAGACGGCTGGGAGGCGGTCGTCGGGTTACTTCTATCGTGTGATAAGGTCGACGTCAATCCGATGGCCAGAAACGGCCAAACCCCAATCTTTAGGGCTGCAGAAGAAGGCAATACAGAAGTCGTCAGGTTGATGTTAGCATGTGGCAAGGTCAATGTCAATTATGGCTGGCAGGGCCGAACACTACTTTCTACTGCTGTACAAAGGGGTTGTACAGAAATCGTCAAGTTGATGTTAGCAAGTGACAATGTCGACGTCAATCGGATGGACGCAGACGGCCAAACACCACTCGGTAGGGCTGTACTAGGACGTCGTACAGAAAGCATTAGGTTGCTGTTAGCATGTGACAAGGTCGATGTCAATCGGATGGACAGGGACGGCCAAACAGCACTCTATAGGGCTGTACTAGGAGGTCATATAGAAGTTGTCAAGTTGATGTTAGCATATGACAAGGTCAATGTCAATCAGGCGGATAGAGACGGCCGAACACCACTTTTTAGGGCTGTACTGGGAGATGATACAGGAACCATCGGGTTGTTGTTAGCATGTGACAAGGTCAATGTCAATCAGGCGGATAGAGACGGCCAAACACCACTTTTTAGGGCTGTAGTAGGAGGTGATACAGAAACCATCAGGTTGTTGTTAGCATGTGACAAGGTCAATGTCAATCAGGCGGATAGAGAAGGCCGAACACCGCTTTTTAAAGCTGTACCAGGAGATGATACAGAAACCGTCAAGTTGATATTAGCATGTGACAAGGTCGATGTCAACCAGGCGGATAGAGACGGCAGAACACCGCTTTTTAGGGCTGTACTACGAGGTGATACAGAAATCATCGGGTTGTTGTTAGGATGCGACAAGGTCGATGTCAACCAGATGGACGGATTCGGCCAAACAGCACTCTCTAGGGCTGTAGAAATAAGAGGTCATACAGAAATCGTCAAGTTGATATTAGCAGGTGACAAAGTCAATGTCAATCGGGTGAACAGAGACGGCCAAACACCACTTCTTAGGGCTGTACTAGGAGGTCGTACAGAAAGCATCAGCTTGATGTTAGGATGTGACAAGATCGATGTCAATCAGATCGATAGAGGCGGCCAAACACCATTTTTCAGGGCTATACAAACACGTAGTAAAGACGTCGTCGAGTTGATGTTAGCATGTCACAAGGTCGATGTCAATCAGCTGGGCAGAGATGGCCGAACGGCATTGACATGGGCTTTATTACGTGAGGATGAAACACTAGTCAACTTACTGTTATCATGTGAGAGGGTGGATGTGAACTACAAGGACCGTCACGGCGATGGCCCTCTTCTCTTTGCCTTATGGACAGGCAATGCAGTAATGAAAAGGTTATTATGTCAATCGGGTAGGTTGGATGTCAATACTAGTGACAAAGATGGTTAAAGAGTACTTTTGTTGGCTGTCGTGATGTGGATATTCCTGCTCTGTTACAATGTATGCAATTTCTTCATTTCCTTCATTTCCTTCATTTCCTTCATTTCCTTCGTTTCCTTCATTTCTTACGATTCAGTGTAGGTGGTACATATGTGACTTCAACTTTTCTTACCTTTACATCTTGCTTGTTTGATTCCGAAGACTGTGTTCACATCCAAAGGCACCGCAACAAGTGGTCGTGACTCTCAAGTGCTCTTTTAACGTTGTTAATCTAAATTCAAGCTATAGATAACTGATATGGTAGATACTTAACAGGATCTGTCATGCTCTACTGATCAAGAATGCTGATCTGGGCGTATTATCGAGTAAGATGATGGCCGGGGCGACCTGTTCTAGCTCCCCCAGGGAGATCGCTTATACGGGAAGTTTCGTGAATGCACTGGTTACGCCGGGAGGTTTCCTGAGTGGACTGCTTTCTTGATCTGAAAGTTCCAGTCCATTGAAGAAGTTCGGGTAGATTCCTAATTCACCCACGAAGTGCCACCAGTGAAAATACAGTCTGGGGTCATTCATGGAGTGGCCAACATATTCTTCAGTGCAATAGCGACATGCTCTTCAGTGCAATAGCGAGAGAGGCTTGGGGAGTGATTGAGCACTGCCATACTCTAAATTGTGCGAATAAAATTCCTGCTGATCTTATTTGAGTCTACTAGTACTGACAGTTTGGGGTACCAACCTTCCTCGCTGTCGCTATTTCTCAGATTTACGGCTACCAGTGTGCTCGCCAAATAGAACAATTGTATGATACTTCCTAGATAAACTGACTTGCCCTGCCACTTCCTCAATGGACTATAGACTTTCAAATCTAGTTCATCAAGGAAAAAATCAGTCCACCCAGGAAACACCCCGGCTAGGCCAGACTGCAGTTCGTTCAGGAATCTTCCTGGTTAAGCGATCTTCCTCGGTTAGCTTGAACAGACTCATGGGTCAAATGGGCTCCTTGAGGGATTGTTAATCCAGTGATCAAGTGGTAACCTCCGACATATACTCGCATATCTAGAATGTATTGTCGCAACCAGCGAAACACACCAAAAATTGATGTTTCTAATAGCATATAGACATTTCCACAGGTGATTTAAAGACCCAACAATCGAGTATAATCTTATTTAAAGGTCTCTAATTAACCTAGTAATTTTATAGAATCTCAATAGATGATTATTCTGAATAGGAAATATATCCACATTGCCATTTATAGCAGATTAATACCAAGGGGCAGAGAATCCTGAGAGCCTTCTTATCTCCCCTGATATTGTGTACGGTGTATCTACGCACCAGGAGGGGTCTAAAGTCAAGTTATGGGCGTTGGTCATAAGGAATGAGCCCAAGGGTAAAAAAAGTATGTTTTGCTGGTTGCGCCAATACATACTGGATATGCGAGTACTTTGCACTATTTCTCTCCATAAAATTTGCTAATCCGTTCGGACAGCTCAATACTTCAAAAGTGATGCTAAATCAGGTAACCTTGATTTTTGAATTAGACGGACGAGCAAACATAGTAGGAGACCTCCATGCCTGGTACTCTGTTCTTTTACATTAGGCTACAGGTTGTTTCCGGCTGCAGAGGTTCCTGTTTGCAATCCATCGGTAGAGTACAGCTGTTCAAACAGGGTGCCCGATGACTGGAGTAGGGGTATTACGCCTGCCTGATAGCACCCTATTCGTAATTCTTCATAATATGGCCTTCTGAAATGATCGCCCTGCCATGGCCATCAATCCTGACAAATTGTGCGCCACTTGGCCAAATCGACGTCTAGGTCGACGGATCTGAACACTGGTAAATACGAGAGGAATTAATATCACGGGAAATAAGAAACTAACGAATCATCCGCTCCGTCTACATGTTCATGCATTGTCCCATACGCTAACGACCCTTATCCGTTGGGCGTCTGTCATATCCATATACCATATAAGGTTAATCTTCTGTTTAACTGTCGCTGTAACTTTAACCTTGCAACATACCCACCGACTGGATAGGGATATACATATTGGAGAGAATTATTACTAGACTTGTGGATGGATATGAACTCACTACCGGGAATCCTATGGGAAAAATGAGGATAATAGGACTCTTGAAATAGGACGCTCGGCACGTTTCATAGTTCTGGAAGATTCTCATCATTTCATTATAGTATTTGTCATCGGCGTATGACTCACTTTCCTATTAGTCATTCTATTACTCACACGTCTATGACTCATTGTATTTCTTTTGTACTACCTTTCTTTAGTATAAATACGGGGCATCCCCCTTTAGCTAGCACAATCAACACGATCAATTACTTTACTTCTCCCATATACTTTCTCTAGGTTATGAGCCCGGAGACCACTCACGCTTATACACTCTTCACCATTTTTACCACAAAGTACACTTTCTCGTTTCACTTTCAATCATGTCTGAGAGGAGCATCAAAATTCCCGCACTCCCATGCAAGCTGGATGGTCAAGGCCATTACACTGTATGGAGGGACCTTGCTACCCGCATGTTGAAAGTTCACGATCTGTGGAACTTGGTCAATGGTTCGAGCAAGCGTCCCGTGTTGACAACTACCACCACTACTGTACCTACCACGGCACCACAAGCATCAGGAAGTGCAGCTGAGGCTGAAGAAGACGAAGAAGAAAACTCCGACAATGCCGAAGAAATCAGCGACTGGGACAAAAAGGACAACCTTGCAGTTGTATTCCTTCAATCTAACATCGAATTCGAAGTTATTCTCACGCTGACACCGGCCGACACCGCTCATCATCTCTGGACTCAACTCGAGGACAGATTCGATCGGAAAACCGTCGCCTCCCTCCACTCGCTCCTCGCCAATGTCGTCACATTACAGTACACACCCGACAAGGGTATCAAGGAACACCTAACCCAGTTCAACACTCTTTGGTCATCTCTCCTCACTAGAACTAGTAACTCTACGGACAAAACCAAAGACCCACTTGGTTACCACCTTCACCAACTCGCATCTGTCTCAGAAGCGAAGGCATCCTTCCTACTCCTCTCACTCCGGCACGAATCCCTCGAATCAGTCGTTGACAACCTGCAAACCAAGCCCAACGTCACCTTCGATGACGTCTACGAAAAGCTGTTGGATCTGGACTCACGGCGCAACAACGATGGACAGGCGGCTGGAGAAGCCTACACAATCAGGCGAGGAAACCCAGGACACGGAAACAACAACAGAGTCAGGAGGCCACGTAACAACGAAACAGGAAATCGGGACGTCACATGCACCTGGTGCACCAAGAATGGAGAATATGCAAAAGGCCACACGCACAAAAATTGCCGGAAACTCAAAGCTTTCAGAGACAAGGAGAAGTCCGCTGCATCTGGCAACCTCAACGTCGCATCTGGTACTGCATTTCACACAAAACTCGACCTCTCTTGGATCCCCGATCTTTCTGGCCTTCCCGCACTCGAAGAAACCGATGTATTCACAATGCCGGTTGACTTCGACCTCACCAACTTCTCAGATGACACCTCGGATATTACCATGGAAGACTACTTTGGCTTCATTGCAGGACCTTCCACCACCGACAACAAGGCATGGATCTTCGACCCTGGTGCAACCAACCACATGACCGGAACGCTGGTTACCGACCCCACTCCCCACACTGGAACAGTTACTGTTGGAGGAGGTCGCAAACTCCAGATAACCGGAATTGGTAACGTCACCATCAACGGATCACATGGCCTGATCACTCTGCAGAACGTATTTTTGATCCCCGAACTAGGCAATACCAACCTGATGTCTTGGTCTTGCATCGCTAAAAAGGGATTTACAACAACTGGGACGGAAGACGGCTTTACCATCTACAAACCGAACAGCAAGGAAATTATCGGGATCGCTAACGCAAATAGTACTGGTCTTTACATTTTTGAAACCAAGGAACCCTGCGCACACCTCTCTGCCGCCACCAGCTTCTATGACTGGCACCAACGGCTCGGACATCTCCCCGCTTCCTCGCTCTCACGGCTTCGCAACATGGTCGCCGACCCCAAGTCTCTCCCCACATCTGGTCACATGGAAACATGCAACACATGTGAACTCGCTAAGTCAACCAAATCTCACCTCGCTCCTCTCACCGAACCACAATCCAAACAACCACTGGAACTAATACACTCAGATCTGAGCGGCAAGTTCTCGACTCCTTCTCTGGGCGGTTTCAATTACTATATCACTTTCATCGACGATTACTCCAGGTACGCTCACCTCTACTTCCTCAAAAAGAAGTCAGATGCAGCAGTTGCCACAGAACGATACATCGCATACATGGAAAATCAATTGGACAAAACGGTTAAACGGTTTCGAAGCGACAACGGTGGCGAGTACATCTCCAATGACCTTCAACAATTTTTTGCCTCCAAAGGCATAAAGCATGAATTCACTGTACCTTACTCTCACGAGTCAAATGGAACAGCAGAACGCTTTAACAGGACCATAGCAACAATGGCACGATCCGCCTTGCTCGACCACAACCTCCCAAAAAATCTATGGGCAGAAGCGATCAACACCATGGTACACGTTAAGAACCGCCTCCCGCACAAATCACTCCCGAATATGACACCATACGAAGCACTCACTGGCAAAAAACCCTTCATTGGGCACCTCCGATCCTTCGGTGAAACCATGTTCATACACATACCTGTCGAAGTACGACCAGCTGGAACAAAACTGGATGCAAGGGCAATAACGGGACAATTCTGCGGATACGGAGATTCTGAAAAAATCTGTCGCGTCTACATACCATCACAAAGGAAAGTAGTTCTCTCTCGTCATTTTAGGTTCAAAGGTACATCCGTAGGGGAAGAAATCGAAGTCAAAACAAAAACCGATACACCCCCTAAACCAAAACAAATCGAGATCAAACAAGAACCACCCTCACGTCCGTCAACACCAAAACAACATAGAATATACGACGACGACCCAAGTGACGACGACATGATCAACCAA